CTTGAAAGTTGATTAAACACCTTTTTTGAGCTTCATTTAATTGAAACATATTCTCTGCCTTTTAAGGGATTTTATTTTATTTTCTGACTTACATAGCCAAAAGAATCATTGTTTCATTAATCATCAGAGGTCTTTGTGAAATCTCAGCTCTGCAGAATATTCAGAGTTCCTATGAGGAAACAAATCTTATTTGTGCAAGGTATTTCTCATCTATTAAAATATTAGTTCATCCACCCTAATCCTTCATTGATTATGTGCTTCCATCCATATTTTTATTATCTCTACCCTTGACCTCCTTTACAGAGAAAGGACTAATAAAACTTTGCATTTTACATAATTTCAGAACATGTTACCTTCTTTGTGTTTTGCTGTCCTTCACAAGTGACCATCACTGAGTCAAATGCAGGTGTAGATGGGATTCTGATTTCCAAGTTTTAAAATATTGTGTTGTCTGAAAAGTCATGATGTATTTTTTTGGTTTTCTATACAAAATTATGTCATGACTTTTCTGAACCCAATAGTTTAGTCAATAGAAGATGGAAAGAAAATCTGATCTAAATTTTCCTCCTAATGTCCTAGGATTTTTTCATGATTTTTTAAAACTGGACCACTAAACATTTTGATCAAAAGAATATAAAATTCAGTTTGGTAGAAGTAAGTAGATCAAGGCAACAGGAAAGTTGTAGACCAGAGAGTGGATGGGTTGTTTTCTGTTGGCTTCACATTGACTTGGCCATCTACAGACCCTCCTGAGCCTGCACTTCTCAACAGAGTTCACTGGGCCTATGTCTATGCTCTTTGCTTCTACTGCATCTGTAAAACCTGTCTCTTTTCTTCCTCAGCTTGATGTGTTCGATGCTGCTGAGCGGTACCAGCAGGCAGGCCTTCCCCTGATTGTCCTGGCAGGCAAGGAATATGGCTCAGGCAGTTCTCGAGATTGGGCCGCCAAAGGCCCTTTCTTGCTGGTGAGTATGAAGCAGAGACGTCCCAGCTGGGAGGGTGCGCAGGAATAAATAATGTTGCTTTACTTTCCAAGATGTCATGGAAGAGCAAGCTCTGCAAAGCAAATGATGTTCGTTTATCTCCTGCTGCTTGGTAGGTCTCGATTTATTTCAGTCATGAAGGGTAATAATCTAATATCAAACTCTTCCCTTAGATCAAACATTCATTGCCTAGCAACCACAGGTTTTAGGGGGTGTCTGTCAATGAGTTTCTGGGGAAAGGCTGTGAAGTCTCTGAAATTATGTCCATAAGTATATATATATGTATCTTCATAGGGAGTAGTTATATGGTTTTCATAACATTTTCAGAGACTGAGGACCCAAAACTTACTTAAGGACATTGTTTCAGGTGAACATAAGGAATAAGCCAGGGCTCCCGTATTACCTATCATGTTCATAGATGGGAAAAATAAGGAACTTGGTCAAGCACAGGTACCAGGTCTCCTAGATAAACGAGGAGAAAGAGCTTTTCACAGTTGCCTTTCACTGCCTGTGAAATCTGATAATAGACCCTCAATGAAAAATGGAAGGTTTTTCACTCTATATATACCAGCTCTTTAGAACCGTCCATCTTTTCAGGGCTCAACTACTCAAGGTATCCCCATAGGAGGGGCCATGCAGGGAACAGAGAACTTAACCTGCTTACCACTTGCTCACCCTGAAAGCAAGGAAGAATCACGCTGCCTGGCTTTATTCTCAGGGTAGGATAAATGGCTTAGCTAATGTCAGTTTAAATCACTTATAGTATGAGCACATTAATGCACTTGGGAAACATGAAGTTAATACCCACAAATACAGTAGAAAATCCAGCTGTCTAGCAGGCACCCCTCCAGATATTGTAGCTTCTGAAAATGTCTTTGAACCTAACACCTTTTTTTTCTTTCTTTCTTTCTTTAACAGTCATTTCTGAGCAGGAGAAAATATAGTTCTCTGATTTGTTGGGAATAGGGGAAAGTCCTGCCTTTCTGAAAGTCCTGAAAAGAACTAGAAAAATTATAGAAGAGGATTGTGGAGAATTCTAAGATTTGACAGAGGAAAAGAAAACCAGCTTTGCAGGGGCAGCTAGAGTGGAGGTGTCTCTACAAAACCATTCTCCGTTCTGGCTTCCCAGGAAGCTATCCACACTGCCATTCTGCCTAGACTGTGCCACTTAGCAGTGCCAGACTGTCCTCACAGCAGAGAGCAATAGACAGCTGGACTTGACAGCATCTGCAGCACAGCCATATACACACAGGGAGGACTGAGCAGTATGTGTTTAGCTGGCTTCTACGTCCCTCAAAATACATGCTTGCATGAATCCCTACAAAATACCATCTACTGTCCTGAAACATCAGCCCTTCCTCTATAGCAGTGGTTCTCAAATTTGGGAACACTTGTGGGATTTTTTTTTAAACCTATTGTAAGTGCCTATATTTGGATCGCATCCCCAGAGATTCTGGTTTTATTAGTAAGGAGAAGGGCTAGGACATCAGGATTATAAACACCTACCCTGGTGACTCCAATATGCAGCAGAGTTTGAGAACCACTGCCCTATAGCTATAGTTCTCAAAACTTATACAAATCACTAGTCCCCTCTTGCCCCACACTCTACATCCTTCTGATGCAGAAGATCTGGGGCAGTACCCAAGAATCTACATTTTTAACAACTGTTTCAAGTATCTCTGATGCAGGGCATCTTAAAAGTGTACCCTAGATATCAAGAGACCTTTTTGGGATACTTATTAAATTATAATTTACTAATATTTGAGATTGAGGAGTTCTCTTGGGTTGTCGGAAAAGACATGACGTATTTTTTCTGTAGACATGACGTATTTTTTTTTCTGTTTTTCTCTGCAAAAATGTGGTATAACTTTTCCAACAATCCAATAGTTAATCATCTTCTTTATTGATTTTTGCTATACACTGCTAACTATAGATTACAAATGTAATTTATGGCAAGTTTAATATCAAGACCATATTCAACACAATTTGATCCTTGAAATAGGAAGTGTAAAAGCAATACAGAGTATGCAATCATTTGCTTTATCTTTAGTATATTCTGAAGGTTGCTTTTATGTCTGCTGATCTACCTACAGTAATAGAAGCATTCAGAGGAAATTAATTTTCTGTATGTTTTGTGGTGTGGAGCCCAAATACAATGGAAGTTTTCTAAGAGTTATTGTATCACAGAGTGACTAAGTACATGGCCAGACTGCAGGACTTTAAATGAGAACCACCAGCACAGTCTGTCTAGGGAAAGGGGGTGAGGGGCTACAAGAGCATCTTCTCCTTCCCAGAGCCGGAGGAGGGTGGAATGAGAGAATTCATTTAAGTGTTTACCTAGCACTGGTATGTGTGGGCAGTCGCTAAGACTAGATACAGCACTCTTTATAACTAGAGGATCACATATATTTTGCATAAAAGATTCATTTGTACTTGTAAAAGATTTAGGTATGAGAATAGTTTTGTAGTTTCTGTGTATCTGAAGAAAAAAATGGAACTGTGTCTAAGTTACTGTCTTTGCTCCTCAGGGAATCAAAGCTGTTCTGGCTGAGAGTTATGAGCGCATTCACCGCAGTAACCTGGTGGGGATGGGGGTGATCCCCCTTGAATACCTCCCTGGTGAGAACGCCAGCTCCCTGGGTCTCACAGGGCGAGAGCGATACACTATCATCATTCCAGAAAACCTCAAACCACGAATGAATGTCCAGGTCAAGGTAAGCAAGAGTTCTATACACCACATCCTGCTAAAAGGCGCCCTCTAATCAGCCTTGTAAGAAGGAAATTAGTGGGACTGGAGAGAAAAAAAGTTTTAAAAACTACTCAGTAGAACTTCATCAAACTTAGGAGTCCTGCCAGTACCTTTTCTACCTGCCTCACAACATAATGAGGATGATACCTGTTGGGTTTTTTTGTTTGTTTGTTTGTTTTAATTTATTTTCTGTTTATTCATAGTTACCAGTTCCATTTTTACCTCTTAACTCCAATCAATCCCCCTGGCTCCATTTCCTCCCAGTGTCACTCAGCCAAGAGAATTATGATGAAAGCCCAGGGATATTTCATTTTCATATTATCTAAAAATTAGCTTTTTATTTTAAAAATGTGGGCAGACACACTCTCCCCTTCCCAGAGCCTCACTGTACACCCTAGGCTTTGATTAACTCAGGGATGAAAATGACAGTTCCCTGTGAGGTAAGGCTAAAGTGCCAACGTTGAAGTCCCCAGGAGTGATACAGCTACCCTGCAGGGCGTCTGCCTATGGGACAATTTTAATGAGCCTTCAGCTGGCCTAAGACACTTCTGTCCACAGGGAATGCCCAGGGAAGGATTTAGAAGGTCATTGCAGTGTCACTAGTAGCTGCAGCTCTGAGATGCTCTCAGATGCCTCTCAGGTCCATCATGTACACCCTGCCGTGTTCCTCGCACTTGAACACAGCATGCTAAAGGATCTTGCTGGAGTGCAGATTCTGATTCGGCAATTCTGGGCTGGGGACAGAGCCCTCACATGCTCCCAGGAGCTGCTAGAGCTGCAGGCATGTGGACCACACCCTAAGCACAAGCACGAGGGCACACCTGGGTACAACCTCATCCCCTCAGCAGTTTCTTTTGCCTCTTTGTCATCCCAGCTGGACACCGGTAAAACCTTCCAGGCTGTCATGAGGTTCGACACCGACGTGGAGCTCACTTACTTCTACAATGGGGGCATCCTCAACTACATGATTCGCAAGATGGCCAAGTAGGCCCTCCTGTTTCTTAGGAGACCTGCACGTGGTGCCGCCCCCAGGGAGGAAGCATGCCGCTAGCCATCTGAGGCCCTGGCGGAGAAGCCTCCTGCTGCCTCTACGAATGGGTGCTGCTTCACAGGCTGAACGAGGGCACACTGGGGTTCGGTGCTGTTCCTGTAGGCACAAATCCAGAAGTTTCTCTGTTCTCTATTTTTGTTAGTCTTTTTACTAGAATTTGGAAATTAGAATGGTGAGAACATCAGTAGTGCCAGAATTTATTTTCTGTTTATTCATAGTTACCAGTTCCATTTTTACCTCTTAACTCCAATCAATCCCCCTGGCTCCATTTCCTCCCAGTGTCACTCAGCCAAGAGAATTATGATGAAAGCCCAGGGATATTTCATTTTCATATTATCTAAAAATTAGCTTTTTATTTTAAAAATGTGGGCAGACACACTCTCCCCTTCCCAGAGCCTCACTGTACACCCTAGGCTTTGATTAACTCAGGGATGAAAATGACAGTTCCCTGTGAGGTAAGGCTAAAGTGCCAACGTTGAAGTCCCCAGGAGTGATACAGCTACCCTGCAGGGCGTCTGCCTATGGGACAATTTTAATGAGCCTTCAGCTGGCCTAAGACACTTCTGTCCACAGGGAATGCCCAGGGAAGGATTTAGAAGGTCATTGCAGTGTCACTAGTAGCTGCAGCTCTGAGATGCTCTCAGATGCCTCTCAGGTCCATCATGTACACCCTGCCGTGTTCCTCGCACTTGAACACAGCATGCTAAAGGATCTTGCTGGAGTGCAGATTCTGATTCGGCAATTCTGGGCTGGGGACAGAGCCCTCACATGCTCCCAGGAGCTGCTAGAGCTGCAGGCATGTGGACCACACCCTAAGCACAAGCACGAGGGCACACCTGGGTACAACCTCATCCCCTCAGCAGTTTCTTTTGCCTCTTTGTCATCCCAGCTGGACACCGGTAAAACCTTCCAGGCTGTCATGAGGTTCGACACCGACGTGGAGCTCACTTACTTCTACAATGGGGGCATCCTCAACTACATGATTCGCAAGATGGCCAAGTAGGCCCTCCTGTTTCTTAGGAGACCTGCACGTGGTGCCGCCCCCAGGGAGGAAGCATGCCGCTAGCCATCTGAGGCCCTGGCGGAGAAGCCTCCTGCTGCCTCTACGAATGGGTGCTGCTTCACAGGCTGAACGAGGGCACACTGGGGTTCGGTGCTGTTCCTGTAGGCACAAATCCAGAAGTTTCTCTGTTCTCTATTTTTGTTAGTCTTTTTACTAGAATTTGGAAATTAGAATGGTGAGAACATCAGTAGTGCCAGAAAGAGAGAACCAAACTCATCTTTGAAGTTACTGATCACAGAAGGTTGATTTTTCACTCTTATCTATTAATCATCAGCTGAACACAAGCAAGTATTCCCAGAGGATGTCTCCCATCCTTTTTACTGTTCCGTTCTGTTATCCTCCGAGAAACCTTTCCCTTGACGGTCATTTCCTCTGCACATTACACCAGTGTTAACTGACATAAGAACTTTCTCACTGTGAATCATAGTAGTGATTGTGATTCTCTCTCCTCTCCTGTTTTGTTCAGAGTGAATGATGGAAACAGCTCATGGACAGATCAGATGTTGAAATTCTTTGGTTATGTACCCTTTGATCAAGTCAACATTTAAAAAAATGAAGTTTTCCTTTTACTGTCTCCAGAAATTGTCCCCAGAAAAATGTTTCATTTGCCAAGAGGAAACCTTTGTTTAAAGGTGATTTGGGAGAAAGACACAGAATATTGCTCACTTGTGTAAGATTAAATCTATTTTCAAGGAAAATTTGTTGACTTTGGACTTGAGTTTTTACTGTGTGGGACTATAGTTTGGGGATTTTTAAAGCAGAGCAAGTCTCGGACCTCTCCATCCTATAACCTGAATGACCTTCATGCTCTCCTGTTTCTACAGCCACATCAGATCTGTGCAGGTATAGTGGGAATGTGTAGAAACCAGTCTGTCATCTGCCTTGTTTGGGAACAGACGAGAGAGAAGAGTAGCTGGTAGCAGTAGGAAAGGGGTAAGGACGTGAGCATATCATAGCTTAGTGGCCTAAAGCTGACCTGCTTATTTCCATCACTGACGTCACTTCAGGAAATGTCTTAGACCACTTTGGCTGCCATTACAAAATACCTTAAGCAACTTAAATGACATAAATTTATTTTATCCTAGTTCTGGAGATCGGAAGTCCAAGGGCAGGGTTCCAGCTGCTTCAGTTTCTGGTGAGCACTCTTGCTAAATCACAGATGGCCGCCTTCTTGCTCTGTCTTCACTTGGCTTTCTTTGGTACGTGTATCTAGAAAGGGAGACAGAATAGGTTCTTGGTGTTTTCTTATTACAAAGATTCCAATTGTATTTCATCAGGGCCCCATCCTTATGACCTCATTTAACCTTAATTTTTATACTTAGAGGTTCTGTCTGCAAATACAGCCTAGGGGTTAGGACTTCAACATGTCAATTTAAAGGGCATGTTCTGTCTATAGCAGGATATCTTTTAACTTGTAAGTTAATCTTCTTGTAATGGTTTTATTTTTTCTTCATATTTTATTTAGTTCTACTACTTTTCAGAAAAATTAAATAACTAGTTATAAATCTACTTTAGTGGAAGTATCAGGACTTCAAAGTGGGTTTTTCTGAATTCTTAATAATTGACAGTGGGCTGGGGGCAGCAGATGGCATGAAAGTTAACATGGCTGGATCCCACATGGCCAACTACATGGTTCCAGTCCCAGACACAGCAACTTAAAAAACATGCCAGGTACATATGCATACGTGCCCAAAATCTCAAGAGGAAAATGGAGGAGAAGGGATGGGAAAACTGATTTCTCACTCCCCTCCTCTTTCTGGCAAGTGCACTTACCCTATAACAAGCAAGCAAGCAAAGAAGTTAACATTTAGAATGTATGAAACCTCCAGTCTTACCAATTTGTAGATCATGGATAAAGTGCTTTTATTCCCTTTCTCTCTCTTTCTGGAAGCCAGCCTGCTGCCTCTTTCATGCTGTGGGCCTGATCTCCATTGCTCTTAGGGCTCCCAAGATGTGTGAGAACCAGAACACTAAGGATCTCCCCTAGCTCCACACAGTGGTATATCCATTCCAAGCTTTGGCTCCAGCCCAGCCAGTGCTCCTGTTTAGATCAAAATGAAATAATTTTTTCTTTTCCTTTGTATATTTTTAAAAAATTTTAATTGATAAAAATTTTATGTATTTACTCTGTATAACATGATGTTTTGAAGTATGTATACAAGGTAGAATGGCTAATTTGACCTAATATATGTATTACCTCATACTTTTTTGTGGTTAGAATACTTAATATTTATTCTTATGTTCAAGAATATATTACATTGTTAATTACTTTAATCACCATATTGTACATAGATTTCTTGAATTTATTCTTCCTAACTGAAGTTTTGGGTTCTTTAACCAACATCTCCCCAGTCATAACCTCCAACTCCTGCAAGAGCTCTGTTAACCACCATTCTATTCTGTTTCTATGAATTCAGCTTTTTTAGATTCTACATGTAAGTGAGATCACGTGGATCTGCTAGAGCATGAGTACACAGGGACTGGCTTGATAATGGACAGGCCTAGAGCCAGTGTCCACAAGTGCCAGCTTGGTGCCTGAGACCAGGGCACCCTGGCATTGGAGTTTGCTTGAAGCCTAGGGCTGTTTGGGCTGGCCAGGCTCTAGAGTAGTCTGGAACCTGGGGCAAGTCTAGGGCTGCAGGAGCTGGCCAGACACGTGACTGGCCTGGAGCTCATATCTGCAGTGGTCAGCAGCAAAAGCTAGCCTGTGCTTGGACAGGACTAAAGACTAAGGCCATGAGGGCCAGTCTTATGTCAGGAAGCCTATAGCCCCTGGGACCATCCTAGCTCTGAAGCAGGCTTGGAATCTGAGTCCATGGAACTGAGATGGGCCCAGAAATTGAGTCCACCAAGCAGGCCTGAAATATGATGCCACAGGAGCCTACACAATGCTATGTTTTACTGAGATAAGCCCATGTTGGAATCTGAGGCAAAGTCTAGTCCTCACTTCCCTTTCCTTCCCCCAATCCATTTCTGTGCTTCATGGGGTTGGGAGGAAAATGTAAAACTGATCTTGCAACCCTCTTCAGTAGGTCTTCTCTTATTTTTGTACTACCTTCAGGTGCTGAATTCCTTCACCTAGTTTTCTTAGCTCTTGTGAAGGTATTTTCATGCATGGATAGTTGTTCAAATTGATGTATCCATGAACAGATGAGCATTAGGAAGTCCTATTCCACCATCTTGCTCTGTGGTATCCTCATTTGAAATGTGTGATTAAGTCCAAGAATCCCATGATAGGCCCTCTGCAAGCTGGAGACCGAAGAGAGCTGATGATGTATCTAGTCCAAGTCCAAAGGCCTGAGAAACTAAGAAGGAATATGGGGAATGCTTGTGTAAGTCCCACAGTCCAAAAGCCCAAGAACCAAGTGTTCCAGTGTCCAAGGACAGAAAATGGAACTTTGTCATTAATTTATCTCCATGAGATGGAGAGAGTGAGGGGATACCCATGACAGAGTCTCACGATGCCACAGTAC